TTAATCATGTTGACCCGTTTGCGACCTAAACTCGTTTAAGGTCAATCCAAACCCTTTTAACTCGTGTTGTGTTGGCGGGTTGTGTTAAACTTTGCCGCCCCCTACAGAAATAGTAGATAGAGACCTTCTGTTTTGGTTATTAGAATTTTTATGAAAGGTGTAATTCAATATATATTATATTAGGTTTGTATAAAATAATAAACATAAAAAAGTATATATACATACATACATACATACATACATACATATATATATATATATATATATATATATATATATATTAAAAATTTATAATGAGACTTACATGTAAAAATAATAGGTTATTAATTTGGAACGGAAAAAAAAAAAATTGAAAAGAAGAATTAGGGAGCCTTTACCTATTTAATATAAGTTACGGTAAATAGCTTCTGATCAAAGCTCAAATCATTGTTTCTATGATTTACAAATATTGAGAGAATGGATCAATTGATCAAACAACAAAGTAAGATCAATTAATGTATAGTAATGGGGTTATGTGATATAGCGAGATTTAATTCAAATTCAAGACGTGGCCAAAATTTTTTTTTTATTTTTTTTAAGACAAGAATGTTAGATTAAAAATTAGGGGTGCCTAGGTTCTATTTCGAGCTCCCAAACACTATGCGAAACAAATCAACCACTGAATTACGAAGGCGGTGACTGCCAAAAGGTTAAGGAATAAAAAAATTTGACATATATATATAGTTAAATTGAAGATATTATTCATTGACATGAATCATCATACTTTCAATTTGAAGGGAGATTAATTTAATTACAGAAAGTTTGTCTGTGAATATGAAATCAAAGTGAGTTTATTTTTTATATACCATTCTAAAACAAATAACTGAATAATTTTGTTCAATATATGAATTTAATTATATGCAATTAACATGCAGAAGTTCTTTCTTTTCTTTTCTTTTTCTTTTTTTTTTTTTTCTTTTTCACAGCAAGAATGTTAAATTAAAAGTTATAGTTGTCAAAGTTCAAAGTCGAGCTCCGAAACACAATGTGAAACAATTCAATCACTGAATTACGAAGGCAGAATTAAAAATCAGGAAGAAAACAAAATTTGACATATATAGTTAAATTGAAGATATTATTCATTGACATGAATCATCCTACTTTAAATTTGAAGGGAGATTAATTTAATTACATGCATCTATTTCTCCAGAACTGCAATAGTTTGTTTGTGAATATGAAATCAAAGTGAGTTTATTTTCTACGTACCATTCTAAAACAAATACCATACAATATGAATTTAATTATACGCAATTAACATGCAGAGTTAACACTCAGCTTCTATTTGTAAAATTAACTTGAATGCAAATTCACCTTTCTTATACCCATGGCCACCTTTCTGTTAATTATATATGTTTATAAAAAATTTGATTAGTATAGCCTAATCATGCATATGGATATTACAATTAATTAAGCAAATAACAGTTCCAAGTACATCCCTATTTCAAATTGTTTAGTAAACATGTCATGGATTGTGTGGCACTGAATTTGTTGTCATTGAAATGGATTTCCAATCATATTAATTTGGTTATGTTGGTTTTAGGTTTTACTATTATCGTTGTGTCAATCTTGATGTTTAGAGTAATTGAAACGGAAAGAAAACAAAATATGACGAAATTAAATTGAAGATATTATTCGTTGACATAAATTTACATGCATCTATTCTCCAGAATTTCAATCCTTTGTCTGGGAATAAACATACAATTCTAAAACAAGAAACCGTACAAGTGGGATGAATCTATTTACAATGTCCAACAAAAACTTCAGAAATATGTGTTGTAACATGAAACAATACGAGCAACGATCACAGTTATGTCATCCATCTTGCCATTACAGCGTTTTTTTCCGGCCCTTTCAGCAGCTTCCATGAATGGAGTTTGAACTTCATCATCCAGGGCATTGAATAAAGCATTTTCGCCTAATAACATGGCCATATCTTCAGTATCTTCGCAATTTTCAATTGCCACGTTTACAATTTCCTCAATTTCATGACCAAACAAGTTGTCAAACAGTCCATCTGTAGCAGCAACAATCACATCTCCTGGTTCTACTGCAACCTTGAATACCTGAATTTATTTGACAAACAATCAGAACATGTTCCTAAAATTAACTTAGAATGCAAATTTGCCACATCTTAATTTCAATTTGGGAAACTTGGTGAACAATGAATTAATTAGCTTGTCCCATTAAGTATGTGCAGTTCTTCATCTGGGTAAATTCAAATAGGGTCAAAATGGGTACATACCATAGCATACTTAGGACGATCTCGTTCCTTGCCGGTATTTCCCAATTGATAGGGACAATTGAAATTGTGTTGTTGAACCGGAGATCGATATACAATCTTTCCATCTCTGATCACCACAAATCCACTGTCTCCAATGTTCACCGCATGTAAGCACTGTAACATTAACATACCAAAAACCATCATCATATATACACAGTACATAAATGGGCGCACGGCATTTTCAAGAATGTTCAAAACTCTAGAAACAAACCGAACCCAATTTCAATAATTCACGAGGAGTCAATAAATTAGTAGAGAATAGATATACGTACGTCGCCGACGAGTGTGATTATGCAGGCGGTGGACGATCCTGCATCGTGGGTGTTATAGAAAGCTTCCGTCAAAATCCTTTTGGGCTCGATGACTCCATTGGTGTGCTTCTGGACGGCGAGATGAGAGTTGATCATGAGTTCGCGAGCATACTTTCCGGCGTCCACACCCTTTCTTCCCCAACCGCCCACTCCGTCCGCAACACCGATGGTGCATTTTTCGTCGCAAATGAAGTAAGAATCCTCTCCGAATGGACTATGTTTCTTGCTATCGTCCGGTAGGTAGTACGCACCGGTGACCATATTCAAGATTCTTGACATGGCGGCGGAGACACGAGATAGAGAGGAACAGAGGAGCGGGGATGACTGGAGCCGCGAAGGCTTAGTTCACTACGAACGAGTATTGATCGACGGAGAGAAGAAAGGGATGCGTTTAGGATAGCGAGATAAGAACTTGGTTCGACCGCTGCGAGCAAGCTCTGTATTATCAATTTCTGTTGGTGGAGCGGAGCCTTAAATGTTTCATTGCCTAATAGGATATATATTAGCACGCACTTCCTTGGTCAGAAAGAAAACGAGCAGAAAGACTCAGATAAATTACAATAAAAAATATATTCTTTTTCATATAATATATTTATGAAAATTTAAGAAATTACTTTTTGAAAATTTTTTATTTTTAAACAATTAATTAAAAAAAATTAAAGGTAAATTTATGCAAATTTAATGGAGAATATTGCATCAAATTAGTCTGAATTTTTTTTCAAAATTAATTTCTATAAGAAAAATAGATTAAGTGTAATTCAATAATAAAAAAAGGGCATTATAGTCATTTAATTAAAAATAGTCTAGGTATGGGAGCATTTTGTAACAAAAGGTATTTTGTACAAAATATACTTTATGGAGGTTATATGCAAATTCAAACATAGTTTTTATTTTTATTTTTTTTTTATTTTTTTTGTACTTTACCCTATTCTATTTTATTAAGTTGCTAAAGTTTTGTCCAATTTAAGAATTTTAATTAACTTTAAAAAAAAAAAAAAAAAAAATTCTTTCTCTATTCCATTTGAGTATGATTTTATTGATTTTACCTTTGCCATTATTTTCTCTCTTTTTTTCCATTATTTTTTCAATTTAGGGTTTTTAATTAAAGTTGCTTTTAATTAAGGTTTTTTTAAAAAAAATAGTATGGTTTTGTCTAATTTAGAATTTTTAATTAAGTTCATTTTTTTCCTTTTTTTTTTTTTTTTACAATTATTTGTTATACGACTTGAGAATGATTATTTTTTTTTTTTTTCTGATAACCTGGTTATTCGGGGATTTGCTCTGACTAATCCATGAGAGCTGTGTAAGGTGCCCCCCACACGGATCAAATAAAACTCGGACTATATATGCATTCATGGCCCTTAAGTAGTTTATACCCAGGAGAAATCGATTTGGGGCCTAATACTTCATGAAGTGCCAAAGTTCAAGTCTATTCCATCTAGGTCAATCTATTGGAGTTAAATGTGATTATATTGATTTTACCTTTGTTATTATTTTTAATTTTTTATTATTATTTATCCAACTTAGGGTTTTTAATTAAAGTTGATAAGATTTTGTTCAATTTAGAGTATGATTATATTGATTTTACCTGTGGCGTCATTTTAAAATTCTTTCTTTTATTCTATTTGAGCTTGATGAACTTGAAATAACTCTATATATATATTTGTAATGACAAATATATATTTTTTTCATTGACAAAAAATAAACATAGAATGGCACAATGCCCCTATTTGTAATGACATATGAACTTATCAATTTTTGATCCATTTGTAATTTATGACAAGACAATATCTTCAATTATTTCATTTTGTAAAAAAGTTAAATTAGTTCATTTGTTATTACATGAGCTCATATTCTAACCAATTAGAAAGCCTAAATTTAACTGAAATCTCCATCCAAGATGCAAATCCAGATATAACCTAAGAATGAATTAGAGGGTTGGCTTCATTAACACGGATTTATGATCGAATTAGATTAGATTAGTATTGAAGATCTTGAGATGGAGAAAATATTAAATATTTTGGGTCATCTCAGTCCTTGGACGTCGTGGAATTCATTACCACATTCATGATTAAACAACTCCCATTGTGTTGGGATATCATACCTCTAGGTATTTAATACTTTCTACGGACTTGAGCCTCCAACCCATCCACCGCGTCAGGCTGGTAAGAGGTTCAAGTATCAGCACTGTTATTTTATATTATCCTTAAAAATATATATATATATATATTATTCACCCAATCACCCGTTCAAACATTAATCATCTTAAGGTAAAGCCCAAATGAAGGATATTTTCGTCATGTAAGGAATAAAATGGTACCACGTAAAAATTTCCCTCATGTTGTCTTTTCTATATATCCTCTCACTTCTGTATCTTTCCCCTTATGCGCTTCTGCTGCTGCTATCTATATTTAACTGTTTATCTCCTACTTCCTCTGTAAGCTATAAGCTTTCTTTTCGGAGTTCCTAAGATTCGATTCATCGCGTCAACGATCTGCTCTCTGCAGGATCTTCTGATTCTTCTTCTTGGATTTTCACTGTAAGTACTTGCAATTTGTTAATTTTTGGTGGTTTCGAACCTTGTGGACCTCAATTTTGTGGGGGCTTTCTTCTTTGTTTTCAGTTGGTAATTACTTGTGTCGACTGTTGTTCTGTAATATTAGTGAAAGTTTTCCTGTACCCTCTGTTTGGTTGCTGCGAAAAATAGAGGAAGGAAAAACTAAAAGGAAAATTTTAAGGGTCAACATCTATTACTGTTTGTTTTCTGGGAAATAAAAAAAACCCAACTTAGCAAAATTGTATCAGATTTAATTGGTTTGATCACTTAAGTGAACCCGAACAAGGCAAAATATATGGAATATTTGCTATTGTCTCTCTTCTTTTCTTCCATTTTCAGTTCACTAATTGTACAGGGCTTAATTGTGTATTTCTTTTTATCAACATTTATGAGTTATCTTGGAATGAAAACAAGGTAAAAGAATAGGATTCACATTTATTTCGTGTTTGGGAGAACCGAATTGATGCTTTGGAATTGGAATTGGAGTAAATTTAATTTAGACTTTAAGTTGAGTTTCCTCTCATTCCAATCCTAAAGCCCCAATTTGGTGCTCCCAAACATAGCTTTCTGTTTTTCCAATCTAATGATTCAGTGTCCAAAATGAGGTTTAGAGTATATTTTATATGGAGTGTGCAAAAATAGTTGAATTTTTCAGATTCAGTTATAGCTCTGGGCTGTTCAATTTTATTTAATTAGTCTTTTAGTTTTCTTTGATTTTGTACTTATCAATCGAGACATTTTTACCATCCTTGAATCTTATTCATGTCCTCTTTTGCTTTCATTTTGCAGGCAATTCGATTATATAACACTAGAAATATCATTGTAATTTGTGGCTATTCCAATCTTATATATAAGGGAAACAGCATGTGGTGGTTGAGTCTGTCAATCGACGTGTTTCGTAAAGTTATCTCCTTGAACTTGTATTGTAGGGTTATTCTGTAAGTTGTTACCTCATCATTCTAATCCTAGTTTTTGCTTTTGATATCGGTCCTTACTGATTTGTCCATGGGAACTTGTCAATTTTTCGTCATCAGTTGTTGTGTTCATTGGATTAGCTGAGATTGAAAGTCCAAACCACTTTGAGATCAAAATTATTTTGTTAGCTTCTATTCTAACTTGAGTTAATATTTTATCCTTTTATAAGTTCAATCAGCTGTTGATCTTTATTTCTAGTTTGGCCAATTTCTCTCTCTTTCGTCTGCCATATCTCGTTCTGTGTGTAGTATTCTTTGCCTAGATTATTGGGTTTATACGAGGTGGAAAGAAGTTATGGTGTGCCAAGCAGCAAGTCAAACAAGATTTCGGGCTTTGAAACATGAGAATGGAATTGCTGGGAGACCAACTATTATAGTTAGAGTGATAGCATGCTTTCAACCTTTGCAGGATTGCCAGGTTAGTTCAAGACTGGTTCACTAATTATTTGTTCCGTTTTAGTTGTTTTGCTTAATTGGTTAATGTTTGTGTTGTGAAAAAAATTAATTCTTGTGAGGGTAAGAATTATACTCTCTAGTTGTTTGTTGTATATAAACCACGACTAACACCATGTTACTCTTTCTGTTCTACAGGCTGAATATTTCCGTCACTTGCTTAAACCTGTCACGTAGATTGTTTCCACGTTTAAGTAATCACATCAAGCTGGAAGATTTGGCTTTCTTTTTTCATTTTTTGATTTCGGAAAGTTTTTGAATATCACAAGTTTAAGTACAATCCGTATCCTGGTATGTTTCTCAATGTCTTGCTGGTACTTGCTGCAGATACGATTTTGGTTGATTGTAAAAATATAACGAATGGTTGTCTTATGCTTCTTCAATTTAGGTGACTGCTTGGGCTGGATGGTTAAGGACAGCGATTCTTGGCTTCATCAGCCGCAGTCTGCTTGGAATTTGCCCAATTTGAAATACATGAGCACAACGCTGCAGTCTAGGCAACAAAATGGTTTTCCATCTTGTATGGGTCCTGACATGTATTCTGCAACTATGGCTCCTCCAGGGGTTGCAGCTCCTGGTTTACCTGCATTGAAGACAATCCAAACAAAAGGAGCTCAGGGGTTTCTTCATTGTTTGCCTCCTCACTTGGAGAGCTTGCTTTTCACTCCGCACTCATATCTGGAAGAAAAACACTCTGCTTCTTATGGAGTTGGGATCAAGGCTATGCCAAATGCTGTATCGGGGTGTAATCAGAAGAGGTTCCTTATTTTCGATCAGTCTGGTGATCAAACAAGAATGTTCCTTACTCCTCCCAGTGGTCCTGTGCCGAATCCTGTTTTTACACCTATAAAACCCACTCATTTTAGTGAATTGCGTGACCAAAAACAGGCAGCTAATGTGGAGGAAATACCTCTAGTCAAGTCTATTATACAAGAAAAATCATATGAGAATCACGTGCTTGATGGAAGCGAGCTGCATGAAGACACAGAAGAAATTAATGCCTTACTTTATTCTGATGATGATGATAATGATGGCAGTGATGATGATGATGATGATGAGGACGATGAAGTAACTAGCACAGGTCATTTTCCACTAGAGATTAAAGGAATTTACGAGAAACATGAATATGTTGGGGAAATAATAGAGGAAGTTGCCAGTTCTGATGGCCCAACTAAAAGGCAGAGACTCCTTGATGGTGGGTACAACAAATCATTATTCATAAACGTTGCAAGTTCATCGAAACAGGATAGACCCCGGAGGGATGGCAATAACACGGAGACAAGTCGTGTTAAAGGCAGGACCCAAGACAAGGATACGGGTTCCACCCTAGGCAATGAGCAGTCAAGGAAGGTTAAAATAAGCGAGACATTGAGAGCTCTCAAGAGCATAGTTCCAGGCATAAAGAGCGAGGACCCATTGTTGATTATTGATGAAGCTATTATTTCCTTGAAGTGTTTGAAGAACAAGGCCAAAACTTTAGGGTTTTAGCCACCCTTAAGTTGCAGCCCGCCCTTCAATAGTGGTATGTTGGTTGGAGGGTGGAATGAAAAGGGGAAAATGGGTAGTATAAGTAAGTCAAGAAGAATTTCTTGACTTTAATGATTGATGGATTTGAAAATAGTACGTTGGGTTTGGCTTTGTGAAGGCCTTTTTCATCTTTTTGTTACTCTAGACTACTGTGTGTGATGAGCCAATAAAGGAAAGGCCTAATGGAATGGATTTGCACTTCAATTGTGGGGTGTTGAAGATAAAAATGGGGCTATGATTGTTGACCAGGAATGATTATCTATTGGCCTTTTGAGGGTTGAAGGAAGTCATTTATTTGAAAGCATGGTGTAGATAGTGGTGGTCTCTGCTGTAAATGAGGACTCCTTTTTCCAGCATTGTTGATAACCCCTTAAATCAAGTGCATGCGCATTAGGTAACTTGGGTCCCACCCTCCACTCCCTTTGCTTATTGATTTTATGCTTTTATGATGTTGTCTCTGTGTGTGTGTGTGTGTGTGTGTGTGTGTGGTAGTGGGGGGACCCTCTCCTCTAGTTGAATCATGAATTGTTGAGAGGCACATTCATGATCAGATCTTGCCGTAAAGGGTGGTTTGTTTCCATGTGAATATGGATGTGTAGTAAGTTGTAGTAGGGGTCTACTTTGTGTGGAGCTTTTGGGAGAAAGAATGTGGAGTTGTGTATGCAGATGTGGTGATGCTAAAGTGGGTAAGAATGGGTTGAATGCGTGCTACTTTATGCTGCTGTTGTGTGTTTGTTATCCTTTTTTTTTTTTTGTATTTGTGTATTTGTGAAAACTGTATACATTGTGACTCCTTTATTGGATACTACATGTCATATTGTGATTGTTATTAAGTGCTTGGGGGACCAATGTTGATCATTTTGATGAAGCCTTTGTAAATTTCCTCTGTTGGGATTTATCGTCTTTTAATTAATGTGGTGGTCCATATAGCTATATAAAATGGACTAAAGTATGTGAAATACTTGTGTCCGACACGCATGGAAATGAGAGATCCGCATTCGACTTTTAGGTAGATATGCACTCTAAAAACATATATTATAATTTAATTTTTATATTATTGCTTCAAAATGGGAAAAATGCCGTATATTAAACACAGTTACATAAAGTTGTTATTTTTTTTCTATGAAATAAAATAAAAATATTAAATAATATGAATATTTAGAAATGTACATGTGTCTTCTTCGAAGATTTAACACATTTTGTTGATACTTACACATTACACGAACACCACAATACTCGAGTCTATGTAACATAGCCATACATGGATGATTCTTTGTTAGACCAGGACTATTTCATAGGCATTGAATTACATGCTATTCAAGTATTTGTATTATGTTAGGGTGGATAGGGAAGGGGAGAGGAAAAGGGACTTCATTCCCATCCAAGTCTTGATGGAATGAATGTGAATATTTAAATACTGTCGTGATTAGATAAAAACAGTAATTTCTTAGGACTCTCTTATGATTAGTTTTTAACCATTCAAAACAATTGTTGTATTTTTTTTATTTCACATATGTTATTGGTTGAAACCAATCACAAGAATCCCAGGAAATTGTGGCGATTGTTATTGGACAAGTGAGCAAGAGTCGCTTGCACTCCTCATGTAGATATGCTCTATCATACAACTTAGCCTTATTTAGAAGCCGCTAAGTGTCGCTTGCACTCTTCATGTAGGTATGATCATGAGGACAATCGAGTGAATAATCCATAGCTTCCATGTCAAATTTAGTATGCTTTATCATTATTAGGCTCAGGCTGGTAAACTGACCATGCATGCTTACAATTATCTTAGGAATAGAGGTCATAATTGAGTAAAGCAGAGTCAGGTATTGGGCCTGTTGCAGCCTGGCATGGTTGAATTAGGACTGAGCGCTTCTCAATTTCACTAAATTTCATTAAAGATTGACAAAAGTTTACAAGAAAATGAGTCACAAGAACATGAAGAAGAATCATTGAGCATTAACCTAGCTAGTATAATCTCTCCTCATTTAAAAGGGAGGTAAGATATTTGAGTTCCATAGTAGACATTTGTGGGTGTGTACGAATATTTACCTACGGAAACCACCAAAAAAAAAAAAAAAAAAATCATTTCTTAAGTGTAGGACCACTCAATTGGCTGGCATTGGTTGATAGAAATTAAAGTGAATAAACATATTGCTATAATGGGGTGAGATGAAGTATATATCCAATTTATATTTTTAAGTGGACCCGCTTAGAGTTTATGCCCCTGTTTGATTCAGTTTTTCTCAAGAACTAAAAACATATAAAATTATTTATACGGAGTATAATTCTTTGAAAATAAGTATTTATTTTAAATAAATTTTTATAAAACAATTTTCAAAATCGTGAACCAAATAAATTTTTATATCGTTTTTTAATTTTGGAATCCCCTAAACTGCTAGAATCATTAATATATAATATTAGATTTCCAACAAAAAAATGAAGAATTACCAAGGTGTAACATGATGGACAGAGAAATAGACTAGTGCATGAAGCAAACAAAAAAACTTTTTTACGTACATACTAAAATATGTGGCTGTTACGTATATTATTGATTGATGCTAAAATAAAGGACCCATTGCAATGGTCACCATGTCCCATGCCATGAGAAAAGCAAAAAACACCTGCTGAAACTGAGTCGACAACTTCGATTTTGACCCATCTTTGAGCGTAAGCTCGTGCTTGCATGACCCAAGTCGAACCACCACCGTTCAACCTTTGTTGTGTAGATTACATCATGCTTGAGCCTAATTGCATGGTGGGTCTAACCTATCTTCATAATTATAACATGAGATGTTTACATTCATGTCTTGGAATTGGGCTCATCCTAACCCAATTTGCAGTGGTCGCATAGCCTTTTTAAAGCATTTTTAAACGGTAGTGTTAGGTAGATTTGTCTCAATCATTAATTGTCACGTTAATCAGTTTTTATCACCCATTATCAAGTTCACTGTTTTATTTGTTTATCTAAGTGATTTCATATCTTGAATTTAGGAAGCCGCTCCAAACTTGAATTCGGATCATCTCGAATATGTCTTTATGACAAAACTATGCCATTTTGATACACAAGTAATATTTTACGTTTTAAATAACGATCACAGGAATATGTATACTGAATTTAAATAAAATACATAAAATAAATAAGTCAGACAGTTGCTCTCACATGGCTCAGTTCTTGAACACGGTCCACGTCCAAACAGTGCCTACAACTGTTAACCTTTAATAAAGTGATGAAAGAATTGGATTTAATTAATTCCATTTCAACTTATGCTCCAGTCACAACCATTCAAATTAGCTTCTAAATATAGGCTTTTGGCTCAACTTGTTAGGTTGGTAATGCCAATTTATCCAAGATATGATATTTCATTTCATTATGGTTCACATATTTAAGACTTCTGTCTTCACGTGTTTTGTTGTAATGCTATTTTTATCCAAGACAAATAATCCAAAGTGGACAACATGTATTTGCTTTCCTTTTTGTTGTGGTTCACATTTCGGTCCCCAATTTTGGTCCCATCAAACAAGTGTGGCCTCTTATGCAACCACAAATTGAATATCTGTGAGTAAATGCATGAATCAACGCAATTGAAAAGCACATTCCAAGCATAGACTCACATTCATTCATTGCCATTAATAGGTCAAATCATTTGTGGTTCTTAAGGGTAACACAATGTCAGCACAACATGCATATATGTATCCCTTGGTAGTCTCAAGTACTTCAATATCAAAACCTAAACAAAATGATTAACTCTATTTTCTCATCTTTTAACGCTATTTTCTCGTCTTCTAAAGTATAAGATCAACACGGTTATAATTGTTCTTACAGCAAGTGTTTAAACATTTTAGATCTTATTGTTGAGGTTGTGATCACTCTCCAGTTACAATTCTGAAGAAAAGGAACTCGTCGCACTAAAGTTGGACCGGTCACACTTGACAGGGAGCCTGAGTTCAGTTTCCTTATCCGTTTCGGATGCTTGTTATGTATTTCTATTAATTTATCAGTTACAAAGTGTCATACACTTCTACCTCCAAATAAAAACAAGCACAATTGAACAAGATGTATTAAGAACTACAGAGAAATTGCTCATAGAAGACTCAAAAACAGATTGGGTGACAAACTGAAGCTACTTGTTGAAGTAATTGCTATAGAGAAAAGAAGAAATGATCAATAAAATAAAAGAAGTAAAGACTCTGAATTCAGAGAGTGTTTTTTCTTGACTTTCTAATTTCTCAGGAAATGGAATTCCTCCATCTTCTAGGTGCCTTTCGAGTCTGTTCCGCGTTTGGCATCTGTGACCCTAAATCATTAGTCTCTAAAGCTGTCATCTTGGTGAGCTTGCTCAGTTTTTTCCACCCACTGGTCCATGCTGATGATTGTTTTGGCTTTGTGATCTTGTCAAATTGTCTCTGCAAGTTCTCCATGTCATTTTGGAGGTCTATGTACTTGGACTTAACACTCTCTAGCTCTAGCTTGAGTGTGTTAATGTCCTTTTTAGCTGCAGCCCAGCCTTCTTGAAATGATTGAGGAGTCCCTTCAAGTAATGTTTTCCGGTTGGTAATCATAGGTTGGTAGTGGGATTCACCACCCTCTTTCAGGGTACTGTTGGCTAAGGCATTGCTTATCTTGACCTGTTCTGAGAAGAGGACTTGCACCACAACTCTTAGTGGCAGCCGTTCGTTCTGGGCAGCATGCATGCAGGCGTCTATCGACAGCTTCTGGCAGTCCATCACACGACAGAGCCGCTTCCTTTCGTGCTCTGACAGTGTTGGATGAGCCTGTCAATTTGTGAAATGGATCAGAATCCATTGCAGCCAAAAAGAGTCATCTGATTGTCTATATGGAAAAACTTCGAAACAAAAAATTGGGCAGGATACTTTATGCTAGCTAGTAATCCCCGTTTTAAGCACATCGAAAACAAAATTTCAGTTCCATAAAACAAACATAAACTCTTGATCAAATTCATTGTCCAGAATGTTTCACTATTAATGTTCTTGTGACAAACACTTTATTCCTTATAATTGGCAGTCCCTCTTCTTCCTATTCTTTTGTCTGATGAACTAACACAGCCTTCATTTAAGTTTGGCTGAAAAGTTAGGCCTACCCCTATCTCTTTATTTATTTTTCCTCCAAAAGTTCAAGCAAACACGCACACACCCACTGTTTAGCTCCTAACAAGACTCGAACTCTCAACCTTCCTTTGAGGAGGAGAGATCATACCATTTAGTCTAAAGTCTAATAGTATGCCTACCCTTTTGTTCTTTAATCTATTCAGACATACATAAAAACCTTATAGTTTTGTGATAATTACTGAGGTTCTAAAATCTACACTTTGGGAGGTTTATACACATAAATTTGATTGCATACTGGTGAACAGAGATGCAGATATGCTCATTTTCATAACACGCATCATAGTACAAGTTTTTCAGCAATTTAGACACGTATGAGGCACCTTCTATGTCTTCTAATGTCATTTTATTTCCAAGACATGATAGAGCATGAAAATACGGATACTAAAGCATAAACCCTAGAAATAAATCAGTCAATGAAAATTAAACTCACTGAAAGACTTGAGAAATTTAAATTCTGTGATACCTTAAGATAGGAATCAATTGCTCGATACAATCCATCATCACAAGTTCTTGCAGATTCTGGCAGAGCCTCAGCCAAGACCTGAAATTTTGTAAGAGAGAGGTTTCTATCTCTGGAGACTTCTGTAAGGTAACTATCAACAAGTCTTGCCACTCTCATCTTGGCATTGGGGTTAGTAGTAACCCTTTGAGTTCCTTCATGGATGTGTTTCTCAGAAAAAGAATGTCTTCTTGGACTCATACTTTCCATCTGCTCTTGAACAAGAAAATGCTCCAAAAGCCTCTGAACAAGATCAACATCATACATAGTCTCAATCTTAGTGTATGAAGGGATTAAAAGATCCGCCAACGTTGCCTGCTCAAACTGCATCCCCACCCTTTTCTCCAACTCAGTGACCAAAGCCGGAGCCACTTTCAACATGTTTGCCATCCTCAGCAACCGAAGAAGGAAGCTGCACGACACGCTGTCCTTCTGTGGAGGAATTATACTTATCAAACTCTCAATGATCATTCTTTGATCTTTGGCCTGAACACTTGGTATGTCATCTCTAGTCCCAGCCAAGATCATATGAAGCCCCCCTTTCCAACTTCTACTACCACTACCATTACTATTACTACTGTTGCTTCCTTCATCCACTGTCTCCATCCCTTCCTTTATCAATCCAGGGAGCCATTTAGCCGCGTAATGAATTATTGCAGCTCCAATCAATTCAAACCTCATACCCTTTACCTTAATCGCTGTAATGACACGAACAAAGTGATCAATCCTAAGAATTGACACATCTTCAAACCACCAGTCAGGAGGGACCTGTTGGTTCCTGCTGGGGCTTGAATCCTTCATATCATTCCATTTTGGGCTCGAAACTTTGGGGGGTCTTCCAGTGTATGCCCATCTGATTCCTTTTGGATTGGCACAAGCCTTCCATGCAATGGACTCGCTGCATCTTCGCACAATTTGGAGGTTTTCTGCCCATGGTGAGAGCTTCTCACAGCTCTTCAATACTAGAATAGAGTCTCTCCACGACGATAAGACCACGTAGCTGAGAAATGCTTCGGTTTTGAATATGAGATTGCCTTCTTCCAAGTCCTCTGTCATTTCAAGGTACTCTGCCGCGCAGCGCAGGCCAGAGATATTGGTTGCTGTGAGATCAACTGCAATTCCATAGCAGAACTTTGCAGCTAACTCAAAAGACTCTGGTCCGCCGGGAAGATCATCTAAAGCCATCCTATTCAAGTCGGCTTCACGTGATTCATATATGATTCTGTTCATCTTTCCACTTCTAGAAAGTAGGGGATACTTGTGATTGTGTGTTTGACACAGAGAAAATTGTCATTTATTTGTAAAATATATTCAATTTAGAAACTTTAGACTAGCAAAATTTAGATGTCAGATTAGAGAAATAGCTACCTTGTGTAAGTGGAAACTAACATCTCCAATTTGAACTAAAAAGTCACTTGGAATATCAGTTGTAACATACCTATTTACATGACAACAACAACAATAATTCAAAAGCTTGTTTACTCTTCATGAAGCAATAATAGATTTGATGGTACAAGAAATTAGTACCTTTTTTTATTCTAATTTCATTCAAGTTACAAAAATAAAGACATTTACTAGCTTGAAGTTCGATAAGAATTCATACATACCAAGATTGGCCTCTTTGCTCAAACCCATCAGTCTTCACACCATGCTTGTTTGAACTAAGCACTCCATTGTTGTAGTCTCTCCCTCCAATTGACTCATTCTCTGATTCCCACATGATGGAAGCTAAAATCCCAGAAAAAATTGAGCAGGATTTTCTCAGGAAAGTGACAGTGGTTCAGAAGAAGAGCAGAGAAAATGAGAAGAGGAACACATCAGAACAGCCGGAGAAACAGGGATGGTGAGTGAAAAGGAAGAATCCCACATGGGGTGCTTGGAATTATCTTTAATTGTCGGTTTCTCACAGAGTTTCAAGAGCTTCTTACAGGCTGTGAAGTAATGGGCATTACCAGTACTGTTATTGGGTCATTTGGGTTAGGAGTGTGTGTATTTCTTTTCTTTAGCTTTGGATATTTGATGCTCTCTCTTAGTATCAAGAGTGGAGTGGGAGATTCAGCTCTTTTTCTTTAAGCTTCTTTTAATTATTGCCTATTTGTATACCACACAATTATACTTTTATATATATATATATATATATATATTATATAAATTTATAGTCTCAAAACATTCTTCTGTTGACAGAAAAAAAATGAATGTTTTTTAGGTTCGGTGGTTGGTTGTGTGTTTACAAGATGTATAAACTCCTTATTTGCAGAATTGTCTTTTTCTGGTATTCCTGAGGTAAAAAGCTTGGACAACGACCTTTTCTTTTCTTTTTTTTTCTTTTTTCTTTTTTTTTTTTTCCTTGGCAACAAACTACACAACTATTTACTTTTTGTGGAGATTGATGCATTTGATTTGGAGACTGTAAATTCAGGAAGAATATTTAGTACATTGGGGTTAATTTCATACATCCCACCAATGAAAATATCATCTTTCCGGTAATTGTAGGATTAAGCAGGATAGTATTGGCCGGGGTACTATTTTTCTGGTACTCCTAGGGTAGGGTATTGAATGCTACTTACTCCGTAAATTCAAGTATCTTTTCAAGTAACTTCTATTCAGGGTGCATCTGAGGCAGGTTGGAGGCTAAACTCCGAGGGATGAAATCTTTAATCCTAACCCAATCAAACCAACCATCAAGCCCAGCTAATCAACCTGAACCCAATTCATCATTAATTTTTTAAGTTCAGGTTGAATTCGGACTTATAATTTGGGTTTCCAACTCCAATAGCTATTTTGGTAAGAATTCAGCTGATGTAAATTAATAACAAATGAAATAAACATATTAAGATTATTGGATTAGTAACTTTATTAACATTTTCAAAGGGTATGCATATATGTTACAATCTATGCATTATCCAGTGACCTAATTGGTAAAAATCCTACCTCTCCGAGCTAGTGTGTCGATGTGTATATATATATTGATATATGTTACAAGAAGTGAACCCTCTAAATAACCAATCACATATGTATATATATACATATATATAAAATGTTAGATATATATCTAGATCATTGTTCGGGTTTTAAAATTGGGAACAGACTCAAGTTGGGCTTCCAGTGCCTTAACACAGTAACCTGAATTCAATCCAAAATAAATTTGGGGTGTTATTTTTCAACCCAAGCCTAGACCAAATTGCAATTTACATGGCACAAGCTTGAAATTTTTCAATTCAAGTTAAGCATGGGTTGGTCCAAATTAAGCTCGAGTTGCATCCCTACTTTTATCCGTAGATGATCTGAATATTGAATTAGAGTATGGAAGGGGCAACAAGAATCAATGTGATTGAAATGTTTGAACAAAAAGTTAGGGCGATGGCGAAGTTGAGGTATGACCAGACCCGATAGGTTGGAAATGGCACCACTAGAAAGATTGGGTACTAAAACCAGAATGGTAAAAAGGCATATTGATTTTGGAAAAGTGGTAGAGAGTGACTCATGATAGAGTAGTTTTATTTTATTGATTTACACTTTTTCTTTCTTTCTTTCTTTCTTTCTTTCTCTTTTCTTTTTTTTTTTTTTTAATTTCCTTTTTTGGGATAAGTGCCAAATATAATTTGTGGTAGTTATAAAAATGACAATGGGGCAGGTTTCCCATTCTCCATCTCCATTCCTATTTAAATTTGGTACTCTCAAAACCGCTCCATAACTGATTATTTTTTTATTCCTAATCCCCATAGCCGCCTCCGCCCCATCCCCGCCCCACCCCACTTTAGAAGATAGGAATGAGTAGGGTTTATTTAGAAGTGTGTGTGTGTGTATATATATATTGTTAAATCGGTAAGTACAATAACATTGCAAGGACTGATAGGAGTAATTCCCCGCCCCTACTCCAAATCCGGTTGGTTTTTTTTTTCCCAACCTCTATTCTTATCCCATTTAAATAAACAATTCTCTAAACCAGCTTTAAAAGGGACTGGGATCGAGCGATTTTTCACCGAATTGGGTAAATTACCATTCCTAGGTAGTTGCCCTATTATATGAAATAAATATCTGAATTTAGGCCAAATAAATATTGAGAGGGGTACAATAAGGATAAGGATAATTTTGTACAACAATGGGATGATGGTACACTGTACAATGGCTTTCTGATATTGAGAAAATTTGGCAGAATATGGGACCCAAAGTTTTATTTGAATGGGAGTGATGTCGTTGAAAGATTATAACTACTGGATTTTGGAGTGATTAGTAGGTCCCGCATTCTTGAGGGTCCAATGACCATGATCTGCGATGCTGCTTTCAACACCACTGCCGCTCTTCCATCAGCCAATGCCCACCACTTTGTCCCACTTTGGCTAATAATCACAAAAATTTCAGAAAGCTGTTTGACATCTTTGCCCATTGAGAGACACTAAAACCACCACTATGATTGCTACATATTCCTTGCCCGCTCAAAAGTCTACAAAAACACTTGGACTAAAGCCACACACGTGTGTATATATGTGTGTGGGGTTTTTGGTAATTGCACATATTTAAAATTTATATTTACATAAGATGAGAAAGATTTTTCCTTATGTTGTGTCGGGAAAGAAAAAATATGGCGAGAAAATAAGAAAGGATGAATTTCCTTTGTTCGTTAGAGATAATATAAAGAAAAAAAGACAAATAGGAAGGATAATTCATTCTTCTTCTTTTACAAATCTTCATATGAAGAAATGACGGAAAATAAATGGACTATTATAGAAGTTTTAAATTAAATACTATCCTAATTTATACAAGTTTTAAATTATAATAACATCCTCATAAATATAATATTATAAATAATATTAGATATAATGGTAAAAATAATAAAAATTTTCGCTTTTTCTTCTCACGAATATAGTAAATTACTATGTTATTCTCTTCTCTTATTTTCTATCCAACCCAATATTATTGGATATAATGGTAAAAATAATTATAATTTTCTCTTTTTCTTCTCACAAATATAGTAAATTACTATGTTATTTTCTTCTCATCTATTCAATCGAAAAAAAAAAAAAAAAAAAATACATAATTTCTTCCCTAATGATGATGTCTAATCCGTTCCCTTCTTCTCTCCCTTCTATATAATTTTTTTTTCCCTAACTAAGAGAGCATTAGGGATATACATTTCTATTTGATTTAATGCTATAAAAAAACAAAGAGGGGAGTGTGTGAGGTCCACCACTCCACATATCATTCATCACACCCATCCATAACAAATGTAACAAAATTCAATTGTCAATTTTATTATTTTTCTATGCAAGCATGAATGTGCATGGGAGAAAGGGTGAGAGAGAAATTGAGAGTAAACCAGAAGTTTTGGAGATGGAGTGGGGCATGAAGATAAATGATTGTAGGGTTAATTACACCCATTTGTTATGTTTATTGTGAGTAACAACTAACATTTAGGGACTTCAAGGAAAAGGACCTTATCTTTAACTTTAAGTATTCCTAATTTTGAATTGTTTACCAATCGCTTAATAAAGAAAAGGATTCATTATCCAATCTGCATCAAACATCACCTTTTAATTCCTCGTCCAAACATTCTTAAGAGATAATGATACTTCCCTCTTTCGATTGGTCAGTTATAAGTGGTTATGTGTAATGAAAAAAGAATTATATTATTATTGCATAAGTATTATTATTTATTAAGAGTAGTTAATTTTAATACATATAAGCTCAAATTTGGCTCGCCCATCTTATATTACTCGGAAAAAATTAAAATTTCAATTAAAATTAAAATTTCAACGAACTAATTCCCTTGTCAACTCTCAAATCTCCACCCTTAATTTAAGCATGCATAAGTGCATTTACTCAGGTCAAAAGTTCAAAACATAAATCCTAAAAAGAACTAACTAGATTTTTTATTTTTTTATTTTATCAGAACGAACTAGATTTATTAACAAATGTTATACTAGCTTTTTATGTTAGGAATTGGAAGGAATGGTAGGAGTTGCACCACGTTGCCTGTTTTATCCTCCCCACTTGTCTGTCCCCTATTCATCGGACATTATGTATCTTTTGAAACCACAACCACAATTTCTTCTCCCATTATTCAAAGACAATTACGATAAATATATATATATATATACACAACATGATGATACTCAATGGCATATCATATTATATCAATCACAGATTTGATATATATATATATATATATATATATTGTATGATATGTGATATGGATATGAAAATAGGTCCTTGTTCATACTTTAGGCTAATAAAATGGGGGTGGTGAGGTTTGTTGCTTTTTGATCAGTTTAGTCTCCAATTATTGTGCCCAAACCCCACTTGAATGGAAGAAGAAAAAGGACACTTTGAAAGGGTGAATTAAATTTATTTAGATAGGGCCCACAAAGCTTTGGAGGATGAGAAAGACTATCATTCTAGAGATGGCCTAAACTAATAAGATATCGTTTACAGGTCTACTTTAAGGTCTAGAAGTAGGGCACTTTCATGGCCTAATTGACCCCTAACCAATAATGGCACAAATTCATTTTCAATTGAAAACGACTCAACCATCAATACTTAGGAGTTTGTCTTTGCACATTCGTTAAAGACACTATTTTTGTAGCCACTTTTTCTTTAGAGCTTCATATTTGTGTTTTTCAATCTTATAGGAAGTGTGTCGATTTTTTTGAAATTTTTGTTGGAGGTCAAAATGGATTCAAATTGGTTTTTTTTTTTTTTTTTTTTTTTTTTTTTTTTTTTTTGGGTAGTGAAATTGGGCTTGACCTATTATGGAGACTTCAAAATGGGTTCCAGTCTGTTAATGTAAGTTACCACAACAAGCTAGTTTGAAATCAACTGCTTTAATCTTGGGCTGTTGTGCATGGGCTTGTCTTAGGTATTATGTGTTGGAATTGGCCTTTAGCCTATTCTGCTACACTGCCTCTCTGTCTCTCTCTCTCTCTCCATATATATATATATATATCTTCTCTTATGCCTTCTATTTCTTTTTTGACCTATTAAATTTCCCTATGCACATGGGAGATTGACAAGACAACAATTGATATAAATTAGGGAAAGTTTTGTTAAAATGAGAAAAAAAAAGAAAAAAAGAAGGGGGGGTTGGTTGGGGGGGGGGGGGGTTTCATTTTATCTCAATACTTTTATGAAACAAATGGATTTTTAGTATATACTAGGATTTTTTTTTTTAAAAAAAAAAAAATCCTGAAAAAGCCAAACCCATATCTGCTTAAGCATGGAGTTCAAACTAAAATCATAAAGATCACTTTAATGGTTCGCCTATGAGTGGAATTACTACAAAAGATAAGTTCAATAATGAGAAAGTGAGAAAAATTCAGGGGAATGTGAGAAAATTAGAAAGAATAGACCTAGCGACATGACCGTGAAACAAGAAAAAACTAGTTGTAATATAAGAGACATAAAAGGCATAAATCAATGAGGTAAATTTTTTTTTTTTTTATAAGTAAAATTGTATAAAGGCGCTCAAAAAGGGAGCAGAACCCAAGAGAAATACAAAGGCCACAAAGAGCCTCTAAGCCTTCAGAGAGGCCAAAAAATCGATAATCTCCTCTAAAAATCTATAATCTCTCTCTGAAACCCAACAAAAAAGAATGAAAAGAATAAAGAATTTAAGAATATAAATTGACATCTCCTTCCCATCAAAATATCTCCTATTCCTCTAGAGACAAATGCACCACCACATACGGAGAGGCGTAACCCTTCAAGCATCCTGAATGTGAGCCAAGCAATAGAAAAGATTGGAGAGAGAATTCATGTCACGAACCCCATTCTTGTGGGGTTAAGGTAAGGATGATAATGATGATGGAATCGATGACGCTGATAACATGATGAAGAGTCTTTTTCAACCTCTCCCTAAGATTTGATTATTAATAAGTGGTACAAATGATCATGCGAGAGTTCTAATGTCAATCAGTTAGGCATTTTGGATAATTGATTTATGGAGTAACAGATACACCACATAGTAAGAAGATAGAATGCCATCTGAAAGGTTAAGCTTCTTTTATTAATGTCAACAGAACAAATTAGACTTACCTATACAGATTTCTAGGTTTTATTTTTATTTTTTCATTTCATGAATGGGTGGTTGATTCATTCCAAAAGATAGAACTTCAGCACATGGAAAGGAACACACACCCTCCCAAGAGAACCAACATTACAAAACTGAGTACATCCACTTCAACTAAGAATGAAAAATGAACAGAGACTTCTGTTTTATTGCTTACACTATCTCCACTCTTAACACTTCTTCAGGTCTCCCTCCCTTTCGGTAATTTAATTGATATATCACAGAACAATTTTAAATCCTATTTGTCTAGCTTCTACTGTGAAAATGAAGGTTATATGATGTGCAGTTCAAAACAATGTTGCAAGAGACTGTCAGAGCAAGTAAAAAACATAACACACTGTTTATTGCACATTGCATATCCACCACTATGCAAAACACCATTAATACATTCTATTTACATGAGATCTACAAACCGAATCATATCTCTCATTAGGGTCAGGTTAAAAACATAGTTAACACAACATAAATACACAGATAATCAAGTATTATTAATACCTCTCATTTCCAAAGCAAATGGGAAAGAATACTGAATCAGCGCTTTGTTGTATACTTGCAGTCAAAGAGTCAGCTCATTATTTCTTCTGTCCTCCCCACCTGGTAAAGCTGCTGCTAAAGTCGCCTTCTATCCTGGCTATAACTAGTAACGGTAACAGGGGCTGATGCGTCAGCGGATTTAGGCAAAGTCAAAATGCTGTACAGAGGTTGTTAACCTTCATGTTAGATGAATGCTCCTGCTGGATTGAAGTGGGAGGGCCACATAGCCTGCTTCTCTTTGGCTCAGATATCCTCACACGCGAAATTGCCATTGCAAGAACATCAACCAAACCAGAGTCCTCATCTTCAGGCTTCTTAGTTGAACTATCAGACACCAAAATTGGACTAGAGTCATCACTGAGAGAGCCACTGGTTATTATCTTGTTTCTCTCCGAATCCATCCTAGGTATGGCAGTCAGTTGTCGCGAAGTCACTTTTACATGGTTTTTCACTTTTGGCTTGAAAGTTAGCATCTCCAATGTAGGTTCTGTGTAGAACAAAATCCATGGATGTTCTGCGAAAACACAAATTTGACCATGAATGAATGATTAAAGTTTTATTTCTTACTGGAATATATAACCAATAGGATATCTGTACCCGTAACTGAGAAAATAGATCAAGGCTCTATCTGGTACGATAATAAAGAGGCTTGAGGTGGTCAGAAAACTTCCATTGTTTTAATTAAATGTCTTAGGATTTGCTTCTGCACCTCTCTAACCACAACCCAGTCTAAGAAGAAAGTAACAGGACAATCATGAGACAATTCCTTTGTTTGGTCGAAATTTTGATTGGTGGATTGCAGCCTGGTTTAATGAAGTGTTTTAGAACTTGCTTCTGCACCTACCTAATAACGACCTAGTCTAAGTAGAAAGTAACTGGTAAATAAATTGTGAGAAAATTATTCCGTTTGAATTAAAAATTTGACTGGTGGATTGCAGCCTCTGAAACTAGTTGATGCAGAACCAGGATCCTTCACAAGTTTGATCAAATTCTGGTATCAAATAAACAAAATCCAAATAACCCAGAATGACAGGACAGGAGGTTGAAACGAATTGGATTATCTATTAATTCTTAATATATACTTCCATGGTCTTACGCTTAATATTCATTTAGACAATATAAGCTGTGGTGTAAATCTTTTTTCCGGTTGCCCTGCCAACAAAACAGGAACGACCCCCTCTGGGACAGCAGTTGTTATAGGCATATAAATCTTACAAGGATGAATGTGTAACATATGCCATCAAAGAAAATTACACAAGATGCGATGTGAATGCAAAGTCACAGCCACCATGACTTTTTTTTTTTTTTTTTTTTTTTTTTTTTTTTGCTCCTGTGGGGACTCAAATATTTGCTCCTGTGGGGACTCGAACTCTCACCTCCCACCAAGCATGGACTTAAAGAGGAGTCAGTGGGGGCAAGAAACTCACACAAATATTTGCTCCTGTGGGAACTCGAACTCTCACCTCCCACCAGGCACGGACTTAAAGAGGAGTCAGTGGGGGCAAGAATTTTTCTTTTAGCATTATATAATTGTAATTCCCCCCACCCCCAATTTCCTGGGTGGGTAGAGGAGATACCACACTAGCTACATTAGTTGGTAGCCACCTCGACTTTTAACTTAAAACAAAATAACATTTCCCCTCATGTTGGACAATTCATGAAATTCTCTTCAACGCCGTTTCAATTAGAACATTATGAATAAAAGAATCAATCATCCACAAAAATGAAGCCTAAATGGAAAGAGAAAGGAGCATTTGAAGCTTACTCAGTACTTCCTCAGCAGTAAACCTTGCTGAAACATCCCTTGTCAGCATACGAGTAATCAGATCACGAGCAGGATGAGATATCAATTCCCATACTCCACTGGCAAAATCAAGGTTTACCTCCTTGATAGCCTGAAATACGGCATCCTTAGAATTACCATGAAATGGGAGCAATCCAACTAAAAGTGCATGGAGGAGGACACCAGCACTCCAGATATCAACTTTTTCTGAATAACCACCAGAGAGAACTTCCGGAGCAATATAGGCAGGACTTCCAACCACACCTGTTAGGCACTGACCTGTAGGAAAGAAGATAGAGTTCAATGATCGCCAAGTCATATATAAATTCTGTTGTGTAAAAAAAAAAAAAAAAAAAAAAGGGAGTGGAAAAACTCACAGGTACTGTACAAGTAAAAAATACCACTGTTTTTTTTTTTTTTGGGTGGAGGGGGGGGGGGGGGGGGGGGGGGGGTGTGGGGGTTTACATTTGTCCTTGAGTCAAAAGTTCAGATTTTAAACAGTTCGCATATCTTTGGGTCAATTAGGGTCTCATTAAGTTGTTCAATCTACTTTTGTATAACATATAATTTCTTGTATGAGTTCTTTATTATTATTATTATGAGAAATCACTTGGAAAAGAAGAGTATTGTACACATTCTCAAGCAGACAAGTAAAAACCAGTTGCTTTTTTCTATCGAAGAAAAGAGGATAAAAAGTGAACCAAGTGTTTTTAAAGAGCAGGCCCATATCAATCCAGATATTTGAACAAACCCAATAATAAGATATTGGACAGTTGAGCAGCCACAATGGAAATGTGGAACAGCTGATTATTTCAAACGTAGAATGATAAGTTCAAACCATCCCAAATCTTCCCCTATTCATGCTACTCACCAAGTTCACTGCAAAGTGGAAGGTGACTGGTGTTAACTGAAGGTTATGACGGAGATATAATGTACGTAACGAGCAAGAAACTCTAGTAAAAAACAAGCATTAGAAGGGTGCGACCAAGGGTTAACCATAACCTTTAAGTACAAGAGCTTCTATGAAGAAACATGTAGCTGTAATTCCTTCATCTTATTATTGTCACACAATACACTAATACAGAACTATCATACAAACCATTAAACCAACATTTATGAATTCCACGACAACGAAAATATTTAAAACTATAGTCACAGTATAGATATGAATAACCATTCAGCAATTACCATTCTATAACCGGTACTGCAAATACAGATCGAACCAAAATAATGCCATCTGCATTTATTTATGTTTGGCTGTACCAGTAGAACGAAAGTTCTAAAAATGACTGTATTTTATGTTTTCTTAAGTTCAAGCTAACAATAATAACAGAAACTTTAATAAACGAGCACAATAAAAGAAGCCTTACAAGCATCAATACACGACTCAAACATTATGATTCACAATCAAAATTAGAAGCTTCCTATGAGACAATGCTAACAGAAATTAAATCAAGAAATCAATTAACATGACAAACATCAATCACTTGACAAAATATACATCTCGGTGTCTGTGTGTGTGTGTACATATATATCAATGCATCCATTAACTTGCACTAAGAAACCTAGAAATTAGTTTAAAAGCATTTAGCAAACATGTAAAAACCAGGACCCATTCATCAATGGTGCCTTAATGCAAAAGCTATCAGTTCAGTGTTTTTACTTATCGTGTAAATCTGTGATAAAATAGAAACAGCAGAAAATTATAATGGAAATAGGCATTTTGTAATCACCATTTGAAATTCTCACAGCTAATCCGAAATCAGCAAGCTTCATTTGTCCAGAAGTTGTAAGGAGAATATTCTCAGGCTTTATGTCTCGGTGGACAACACCCATGTCATGGCAATATTTGATAACTAAAATCAGTTCTTTAAGTACATTAGCAGCTCGTTGCTCAGAATAACGCCCTTCCCTAGCCATCTGATCAAGCAACCGTCCTCCAGAGCAGAGCTCCATCACGAGGTGGAATAAGTTAGCATCCTCATACACTGCCTTCAGTATCACAATACCTGGATGACCAGAAAGGTGCTGCATTATCTCTACCTCCTGGTGCACAATCTCCTTTCCCTTGTGCAATGTCTTGCATGCAAACTCTTCTCCACTTGCTTTATTCCGACACAAGACCACCGAACCAAACTTCCCTCGCCCGATTGTTGCACCCAAATCAAACTCTTGTTCAAGCTTCTTTTTCCTCCCCATTTGAGTCGCTGCATCAATACACCCGATTTTCCTCTTGAAACCCCTTCCTGGTGAGTCTGAGGACAAACTCCCACAAGGTGGTGCGGTTGCAACTCCAGTAACCAAACTTTCACTAGAACTAAGAGTTTCTATATCTACTACTTCTTTACACTTCTTTTTCTGCCTTGAGTAATCTTCCAATGACATGTGTGACCACATGGTCGTCAATGGAGTTGGGTTCTTTCTACTTGTTGGTAAAATATCAGTTCCTTTCCTCTTCCTCCCTAAAAACTCCATCAAATGCCAATTTTATTACAACTCTACAAACCATAAGCAATCCCACAAAAATACTAGTCTCACTAAAAAATCAGCATAACTTTCCCACAATCGTCGAAACCAAACAGTAATCAGCTAAAATTCATAGAGTTGCATACTTTCAGCTATAGTTACCCTAGCCAAACAACCAGTTGCATACTTTCAGCTATAGTTACCCTAGCCAAACAATAATTGATCAAGAATTCTAACCATGAAGCTATTTCGCGAACCGATGCGTCAAAATGTTTAATCTTTGATTGAATCCTGCAATTTAAGCAAATGGGTATTACTCAAATGCACTCAATAATCAAAATCGTGACCCTAGATTACAATTAAACACATTAAAACCAAACATAGAAAAGAAAAGAAAAAATGCTGGGACAGATCTGAACCTTTGAACATCAAGAGCCTCTTGTTCTTCTTCTTGCAACCCATTTGAGGCAACGGCTCAGAGGCCTTGAAAATCATCGATTTGCTTCGATTCAAAGTGATGACAACCTGCGAGATATAACAAGCTGTGTAACACCTAGAATTTCAGCCAAACCCTAAAATCAAAGCCCAAAATCTCTGTGATGCGACGGAGGATTCAGAGGGATATTGGGAATAATTCTTGGACTGGATTGGAGATTGATGAGAGAGAATGAGTAAATTGATGAGTACAATTACCTTCATCGAGAAAATATCTAGGGAGTGATTGGGGGAGCAAAGCGGGGTTCTTTAACGAAAAAGGTAAAGTTGTCCATTCCCCCGTAGATTAACTGACACGTGACTCATTTTCCTTCCCGGCAAATTAACTGTCAGTTCAGTTTTTATGCAGTACTTATTTCGCTTTTGCGTAATGCTCAATCAAAATGGACAAGTCATGCAAGCATGGGTGAAAAACTTAAAAAAAAATTATTGGTGTTGTGTGTGCGTAATAAAAGTAAACTTGAGAGTATTTTAACTCTTAAATTAAAAATTAACACATATTGATAAAACGAGTTAAAATAAACGTATTTTTATTTGTGAGTAAATATATAATTTGTGAATGATACTTATGTTTTTAGAGAAAATCCACCTTTTTCAATATTTCCTTTTTGAGAATGAGAGATGATGCTTGGAGCTAGAGACTACTTCTTTTATTAGTATTTTCACATGAATTTCTTTTTTTTTTTATTTTGTTGTTTTATTATATTTCATTTTTTTAAGATCATTTCTAACTATTGTATTTCATGTGAGCTTTGTTTGTCTCTTTTTCTCTTGTTTTCTATGCAAATAAATCAACTTTTTCTTTTGATTTGGTCACCTGATTTAAATGTTATTTTTTTTCCTAATCTACTATCTCTCTTTATATATATATACAGTGACTAGCAATTCACACAACTGCTTATACGGGATTTGAATTATTTTCTTTTTTTCTTTTTCTTTTTTTCTTTCTTCTTTGTATTAAAGTTTTTATTGTATTGGAATGAAAATTTTGTGGAGGAAAGGAGAAACCTGATCACCACAATATACATTCTTTAAAACAAATTATACCTATCAAGCAAATTAGTTAGTGGATCTCATGTTTCTATTAACAATCAAACCTTTTTTTTTTTCAATTACTTAAAATCGGATTAGGACCTTTGACAACGATGAATTAATTTAAGGCAAAGCTGAAAATAACCTTTTGAGTGAAAAATAATTAGAAGTGAACTAGATGAAATTAATCATGCTATTTTCAATTTTATTTGATGGATTCACAATATATTTTTGGATAGTTAAAAAACAAAAACTTAATGATGATTAGTATGACCAATTTACAAAGAAAATAAAAAATGTCAGAAGTGGGATTTGAACCCACGCTCTCTCACGAGAACCAGAACTTGAGTCTGGCGCCTTAGACCACTCGGCCATCCTGACTGACACACAAGGGATTCCCGAATTAATATATAAACTAATTTTTACTTCCTTATCTCCGTAGTTTCCCGGGTAGAGTGACTTATTTATCTATTCAATCAGCATTTATAATAAGTCAATGAGTTAGTAAATGTGATGAGACATATGCTTATGCTAATTAATAATTTCAAATTGACTCACAAATTCAGTTATTTGCATACTTTTTTATTGTTAAATTTGAAAAATATAATGGGGCAAATTTTACAGAGTATTTATTGCCTTCTGTCAACATTGGTGGTTCAAAAGTCAAAATGTGCCCAATTCTGTTGTAACCAGAAGATGCATTAAACTTTGTCGCACAAGTGGCTGAGAAGAGAAGAAAAAATGAGGCATTTTGGGAGAGATGTGAGATTTTAAGTCTAGTGAGAAAACACCAAATTGTACATGTCGGAAATATTATGTGCTTATAAGTTACGAGTACTACTTTAATATTATAGTACACGAAACATGAACTAGAACATGTAATATATATGGATGGAGAATCTTTAAAATAAATAAATAAATAAATCTAAAATAATAGTATTTACTATGCAATATGTATATTAATAATAAATCATATTTATAGACGGAGGCTAGAAATATTGTATTCTATTTTCTTTAGACTAATTTTGTCCTCACGGCATGTGTTAGCATTTCTCTTTCAAGATACAACTACCTCCTTTCACCATTTGTAGTACTTAAAACCAACTTTAAATTATACTCTTTTTGACTTTACTTGAACTAAAATTTAACTTTAAACTCAAACTCGTATGAACCGAACTTTTAGACTTGAACCAAATAGGCTCAAGTATGGAATGAACTAGAAAGAAAAGTGAAAAATTCAAATTTTAGAAGTGCAGAAAACAAATGAAACCAGTGGTATATTTATATAGGAATTGGTTTGCGACCCTTCAACTCGAACCAGTATCATTTGTGATTATTCGACCCGAACCGCCACACCATTTACCTATTCAGATTTTGACCATTATTTACCTATTCGGATTTTAAACCTTTTTTTATCCCCCGGTAATTAAGGATTTTAACCTTTTAAACATCCCGGATTGGATTTTAACCGCTTCCATTTTAGTTGGTTGATCCTAATTTATTTGGGTTCTAAAAGATTTAAATGATTCTGGATTTGTCAAAGTCCATCAAACCCACACAGATTAATGCCCAAAAATCCAGGCCCAAACCAATAATTCGTTGTACAATAATAAGAAGAATAATCTTTTTGAGGACCAAGGCCACCTGTTTGTGGTAGGTTTGGCTGGACCCAAACTTGGTTAGGTCCCTATTTATAGATATATTTTAAGAAATATACATACATTAAAAATGCATCCAAAAAAAATTGTTGCAATTATTTTTTTAATTTTAACATGTAATTTCATTTTTTTACTTCGGCTCCCAAATAAAAATTTTTGGCTCCATACCTGACAGGAGAGTAATGTGTATTGACAAATCATAAAAAATGAAACACTAATTTAATAAAAAGGAGCAACATAATGAAGCTTATGAAAATGGGAAAATAAATACATTTATTCTCTCTCCATTATTCTTTTTGTGGGAGTACAACTTTATTGCAGAGTCATGTCCACAAACTTTTTGTACACATTTAAATATATAGGTGGTTTAATTTATTTTTTTAGGTAAAATATAGGTGGTTTAATTTCCTTAGACAGTTTGAACACGAACACGGTCCAAGACGGACTTCCCATCAAGCTGGTTGCTTTGCTGCAACTCCATAAATTCTACATACTTCATTGGAATATATGCAGCTGGATGAGTTTCTCTGTTCACCAATTCCGTTGCCGGACCTACAACAGCATCGAGCGCCGGCCCGTGGGCCATGGCGAGTGATATCCGAGTAGCTTTATTGTTCACAACTGCTCGATGCACATTGCTCTTGTACTTTCCATTGCTTAATATCTGTCGGGAAACATAATTTAAGTTTTAGGCATTAACATAAAGTTATGAAAGTCTAAAAGTCGAACACATCTGATTATATTAATGCCAGTGAGAGATGATGTCATCATACTTAATGATGTAATTTTACATCCACATAAAAAAAAAAACAAAAACAAACAAACAAACGGGATGTGTTTGACTCTCAAACCACTTATCATATTTTGTGAAAATAAAGAGATGTTGCACCTCAAGGTGATCTCCGGTGTTAACGAGAAAGGAGTTGGGAGGGGCATTGACATTGACGAACTTGCTGTTGTGCTGGACTTGTAGGCCTACGATTCTGTTCTCTATAAGGAGGGTTAAGAGGCCATGGTCGGAGTGAGGAGGCAAGCCCATGGCTTGATCAGGCTGTGGACAAGGCGGGTACAGGTTGGCGACGAAAATTTGGAAGCCCGAGTCTAGATTCAAGGTTTTGTGTATGTAGCTTTTTTCTAGGCCTAAGCTCTCTGATATCCCTTTAAGCAATTCGCTTGCTACTTTTCTAGTTCTATCGCAGTACTCCAAGGACAGCTCACTGCATTAAAACAACCATTTTAGTCAATATATACAAGCCTTCTCAAATAAGGTTAGGTATTGGAGAAATGTTAAATAAAGTATATACATTTTCAACACAATTATTACGTGATATTTGGTCCCTACACCACTAATCCGGAATCATGTAATAACTTCTTTTTATATTGATGAAATATTTTTACAAAAGGAAATAGAGGCGGTGTTGAGACAGTTGTTACTAGGGATTGTCAATAATCAGAAAAACTATCATTAATAAACTTTACCGTTCATGTGAAACTTTAAAAGTATATATTTTAAAGACTAAACTATTATACATACAACTAATAATAACACAGTAGATTTTATAAAGGTTCGTTTCGTAATACAATAAAATATATAAATGGTGATATCATACACAAATTCAGACAACTTAGTAGAATTCAGTTGTTAGTAGGGATTGTCAATAATCACAAAAGCTATGATTAATAAACTTTACTGTTTATGTGAAACTTTAAAAGTACATATTTTAAAGACTAAACTATTATACATACAACTAATAATAACACAGTAGATCTTGTAAGGGTTTGTTTTCGTAACACGATAAAATACATATAAATGGTGATATCATACACAAATTTAGGCAACATAATACAATTTGAAGTGGACTGAGAGAACAGAAAGGGAGGAAGAGATAACCTCTCATGTTTTCTCCATACACTTTCATCAAAGGAATCAATGGTATACTATGACACTGCCATCTTCACCCTTTCTCTCAAATTTGCATGTGCTTCTACCTTTCTCAGTCCACTTTGAATTATATTATGTTATCTGGATCACTCAAATTTATATATGATATCATCATTTATATATATCTTATTGTGTTACGAAAACGAACTCGATCTCTACAGATTCTTTCCTTCTTTTTTATTTATTCCGGATCAATTTCCATTATTACATAACCTGTCACCATTCAGGTACGTTTATATACTAATAATTTCACAGTGGATTCTTCCTCCTTTCTTTTTGTCAATTTCCTTCATTACATATCACAGACGCCCAAGTGACATATGATCATAATAATAATAATAATAATAATAATAATAATAATACATGCATGTATCTATAGACTCTAACCCAACGACTTGATAAGGAGGTCCGGAGGACCTACAATTTTACTTTAATTCTAGTCTTTTTGTTATATTTTGGAGTGGAAAATGACAATGGCTGCTATTAAAGATTGAAAGAGTAGCCCAACCAAGTTGACTAGACAAAAATAGACAAGATGAGATTAATGTATGTAAGGAATAAATGAGATTGAATTTAATTAAGAGTAATACTAAGGTCTCTTTCATGAGATTTTTCGGGAGTTCTTTTCTTTCGTATGATTATAAATAATTATTGAGATAAGAAGTGAATTGTTAGAAAAAGGATTAAAAGAGAATTATATATTTAAAATTTATTAATAATAAATTATACGAATCAGTCAAAATTAATAATGTAATTTAGACAAAAGTCTAAAATTTTACTATTAATAAATTTTTGAGAAATTTTAATTATATAATTTTAGTTTAGTCATTTTTGAAATGGTTGAATTCGTGTTTCAATATATTTAAAAAAAAATTAAAATAAATGGCTCGTAAGAAATCTGAGGAGGGAGACTCATAGTAGCATTACTCAGCATTACTCTTTAATTAAACAGTGCTCAAAAATAAGGATTTGTACCTGAAACCCATGGGTTTGTTGGGGAAATGGAAGTGTGGATGCACATGAACCTTGAGAAAATCCCTCCAAAAGAACACCTTCTCCGCCGTAGCGTTGAAACTGGTCCCACATCTGATCGGATCCAATACGTGCTTTCCTTTGTACTCCCGCTTCTCATCCTCCGCCAGATTGAAGAACTCGTTACACGCGTCAATTACCCTTTTCATCAGCGTCACCGGCACATCATGATTAATCACCTGTGGACTCAACCCATCAAACCCACTCAATTCCACAACCACATATCAATATACCATATACATATAATAGATAATATACGTACACTCCAAAATGAAATAATTATAGTAATAAATTACTAATTATAGAATCATGGACAGTACAAAAAAATTGTAATTGATGTGTCATGTGTGCTTGTTCATGAAGATATATGGTACCATGAAGAAACCCCACTCTCGACAGGCTTTGCCGAGGTCTTGGACAATTTTGGACCGTTGATCTGGATCATCCGAGGTGAGTAAGGAAAAATCAATGACGGGGATTGACTCTTCGGAGTCTGAACCTGCGGATTCATTGGGGTTCATGGTACTGTAGGCGTAATTAGATGGAATGGACGTGAGTGCACCTGATTCTGCTAAAGATTTGATGCATGTGAGCTCTGGTGTATGAAGAGGAGTTTTGGGGGAAGGTTGAGGAACCATTGAAGATGTAGTGGCCATTCTAGAGAGAGAGAGAGAAAGAGGGAGCTAAGGATGTATTATGAATTTATGATAACATTGTGGATGAAGCTATATATAGACCACATAACATTAAAACCCATCAACTTTACACGAAGACCCCAGTTGACACCGAAAATTTAGAGATCTTTTGGCGTTATTATATATTCTTTATTTTATTTTTGTTTTTTCAAGATATGGGATACATATTTATAACGTTGAAATATTACAAAATTATTATTATTATTTTTATTATTTAATTTAAAGATCGTCGGCGGTATTATATGTTTTAGATCTTCTATTCTTTTTTTTTCTTTTTTTCTTTTTTTCCCTTTGGAAAGAAAACATAATTATAACGTATAAATATTAAGCAATTTTTTTTTTTAATTTAAAAAAAAAAAAAAAAGACAAAAGCATAAACACTTTCACATTGTTTATATAGCATGATTATTCTAATATTTAGGCGAGCTCGTATTTTAGATTTATGGTTGGTAGGTTTTATCCACATTATTCAATGTACATATATATAGATGACTAGCTGACTAAATCTAATTTTGTTTGCACCATAAAATTAATTTTAATTGTGTTGTTTGATTAGAGAAAGAATTTTCTTTCCCATATTGGCATTGGTTGATTGGAAGAATGATTTCTTTACAATGGTCATTCTAACATGGAATTATTTCCAGGTCCATAAAGGAGATTACATGCGGCAAGTTATAAAATATGTCTACCTCAAAATTGATTATGACTCGGCCGCATAGGTGCCTATTAAATAGTCAGATGCGGGTAGAAGCAGTATGCATTTTGAGATAATCCACTGATTTAGCCCTATGGTACAGTACCACATCACAAGAGCATTTGTGTTCAATGTGACATGTTTCGAAAGGATAAGATCAAACAAGTGATATTTAAATTCAAAATAAGAAAATTTAAATTTTAAGTTGTAACTGCTTTCAACAGCTGAGCCTCAACTATAAATAGAAAAAGAAGAAGGCCTTGTGGAGGGATATCACGATCATTCAATAACTTATGCAATTTTTATTTCTCTGCAATTTCATACAGTCTTTTAAATTGTATTTTACTTCTATTCATATGAGTAGCCTAGTGTTAGATTTACACTTCTTGTATTATGTATGAGAATTTTATTTATAAAATAAAAGTCGACGCTTGGCTTAAGTCCCCTCTACTTTTATTTTCTAAGTCTCTTAGAATAGAGGAATGCTCGTATAATTTGTTTTATTCCCTTCATCCATTCTACTTATAGTGCTAAAAGACCTCTTTATTAAGGCGTTGAAGAACCTGAATGAAGGGGTCATCCTTGCCTTCCAACAGTCGTCTGATTCACTAAAGGCCGATTTCAAATTCGGTCAGTACCAAGGATAATTTGGCTATCCAACCCCTTGGGTTAAAAGACTCTTGCACGCCAAAAAAAAAAAAAAAAAAAAAAAAAAAAAAAAAAAAAAAAATGAGCCAAACAATTTGGCACGCCCGGTGGGACACCGGAAGTATTTAAATTAAACTTTTATCCATGGCATTTACTCAAGCTCAGTCTCAAAATTTGCCTGAGAGACAGCCTCAACATCAGGAATAAGGGGCTAAATTCGAAGTGAATCAACAGCCTCAACATCAGGAACAAGAGGCTGAAGTGGAAGTGAATCAACAGCCAAGTAATCAGATGTTGGCTGAGAATTTTAACAACTTAGTGCAACGGATGGAAATTTCTAGCTGTACCTTTCATGGAGCACTAAAGCCAATCCATAACACATTGGCTAATTTGAATAACTCTTTAACCGTCCTATCAACAAGATTTGATCAACACTTTATGGCACGGTCGAATACTACAGATACTTCGTTGCATGCATAACAACAAGTTCCAGCGCCTGTTGGGGTTCAACAGAATTACTACCAACAACAGCGGCAAGGGTTTCAACCCCTTCTGCGACCGTTGCATGGACAGTATCATCCGCAGGCTAATAAGCCTCAACATCAGATACCAGCGGAATATCAACCAATCGGAGGGCCAATCAGAATGTGAATTGGCGACCACTTAATCCGATTTATCAACACCAATTGCAAGTATGTTAGCCCTAAGAGGGGCGAGATAATTTTTATGCTGGTTTTAATTTTCCAGCGCCTTAGCCTCAGGCGCCGTATGTGCCTCAGCCTCAAGTGCCAAACGTGTCTCAACCTCAGGTGCCGTATGTATTAGCCTCAAGCACCTTATAATGCATCAGCCTCAACCACAACAGCCAAATCATCAACCCTTTATGGTTGATAGAGATCAACTGGCTAATTTAATTCAAGAAACTTATGGACCAATTAACCCTGAGAAAAGTTGGTCGCCTTACATATAGGAAGCCATATCCGAACTATATAAACCGATATGAGTTTCTAAGAGGCTATAAAGTTTCCGATTTGGTTACTTTTTTAGGAGAAGACTCCACTTCGACCATAAAACATATTGGTCAAATTACCATTCAATGTGGTAAGGCTGGAGCAAATGAATTCTTAAAATTAAGGCTATATGTTAATTCCCTTACAGGGACTGCATTTTCTTGGTATATAAGTTTACCAGCAAATTCGGTCTATACTTGGCAACAATTGGAAGAAATGTTTCATACCCAATTTTATAAGATTGAACCAGATGTGTCGGTGGCTAACTTATCTGGGCTGTCCCAAATGCCTGGAGAGACAGCTGAAGCCTTCATTGGAAGGTTTAAAAGGGCGAGACATAAATGCCAAGTATCCCTTCCAGAAACTGAATATATGAGTCTAACCTTGAATGGTTTAGACTTTGAATTACGAAAGAAATTTGAGGGAATGCAATTTCGGGACTTATTTCAACTAGCCTCTAGTGCTACAAGGTATAAAAAGGTCCTGAAAGAAGAACAAGATAGAAGGAATGCCTCTAGGGGTACCTATTACAGTGACCCAAATTATGAAATTCATATGATAGAAGCGTCGAATAATTATGTCAAAGATCCTACTTACGAGATTCATTTAACAGAGGCTGCAATTGGCCTTGAAATCAATGCTGTTGAAATTAATATAAAGAAACCATATTCATGTTTAGCATTGACTAAACCAACCAAAACTGTTAGTAGTGTTTAGCCGTCAAGTTCAACGGGTAAAAGAATCTTAATAGAGGCTAGTAAACAATACGCTTTATACAGTACAAAGGCTGATGAGATTTTTGACCTTATGTTGGCTAATAAAATAATCGGCCTCTCAAAGGGACAAAAAATCCCTTCGAAAAATGAATTACAAAACAGAGATTATTGTAAACGACATAATTCTTATCACTATTCAACTAATAATTGCATTGTTTTTCGTTCTAAATTGCAGAACTTGATCAAGAAGAAGTTGTTTCATTTCCTGAAAAGAAGCAAGATAAAATGGGTGTTGATGATAACCCATTTCCAACAGTAGTGGCTAGTAATATGATCTCAGTCAAAAACTTCAATCAACCACTTAAGGATGATAAAGATGGTGAGAGAAGGGTCTAAAAATTAGAAGAAAAACAGCTTGTTACAGTAGCTAAACATAGAAGGGCCATTGAAGAGATAGAAGAGAGGTTGAGAAAGGCCCAGATTGACTTGATCAAACAAAAGTGTTGTCCAAGTTGTAAGAGAGATTGGAGCACTGTTATTATTAAAGAGTCAAAAGATGATCACAATTATAAAGGGCGTGAGAAATCAACCCCTAAATTGAAGAGCATCATTGTTGCTAAAACTCATGCACCCCCTAAAGCAAGGTTCAACAGACATTATCGGCGCCTTATGGCCGAGAAATTGTCCTTACACAAGGGGGTAAGTCCAATAGCATCTACATCGGCACCTTCAAAGTTCAGGAAGCTGAAGGAGTTTGCTTTCGGCCCTAGAAGGCCGATTGGGACTTTTAACCGTATGGGTTATGAAGGACCAAGAAAATATATATCAAGTCCTATGGATCGTAACTACAGGCCTAGAATGGTTAGACCAAGAAATACAAATGACCGTGAATAGAGTGTTGCTTATAATCTAAAATTCTCAGCAATTGAAGACTGGGTTCGGCCTCCTATGACCAAAACTCAAAAACGGAGGATGCAAAGATTTCGTTCCTAAAAACGGAAAGAAGAATTCAAGGATTCAGCCCCACAACCAGAAGAGACTCGAGTTAGATGGGACCGACGGAGTCACAAGGATTATGAACATACAGGGGTTGATTATGAAATGACTGAAAAAGGGGCTGAAGATGTTGAACAAAAATTAGTCACAGGCCAGGTATGTCATCATCTGTTGAAATGCCTTGTGATCTTAATGTTGATAAAGAAAATGATTCAGGCGTTAAAGATGATAATGATACATTTGACGATATCTTGCACAATGATTTATCAAATAATGATATTATGAATGATACATTACTTGATGATAAGCTTGAAGAACAAGCGAGTGATATGCAAGAAATTCAGTTCAGTACTATACCAACAAATGTTAATTGCAATATGACTTTTACTTTGCCTTTGGTATTTGAAGCAAAACCTGATCAGCCCTCTATGTTAAATAGAGATGTTGAGGAACCAGATAATGAGAATGTGCCTGAAATTTTCGGTCATAACCACAATTCAGTACCTTTGGTTCCAGAAGGTGGGTCAAGAGTTGTGATGGTGAAAAATAAAGTTCAATACCAATTGGAGAAAAGTATTCAAGGTGAAGGTCCTATTAGGGTAATCCTAGAAAATCCAACCGTTATAATGTGCCAGTGCTTAAGGCCGTTATATATCAAGATTTGGTTAGAAGGAGTACCGGTCTCTAAGGTGTTGGTAAACAATGGGTCGACGGTCAATGTAATCTCAATGAAGATGTTGAAGAAATTGAATAAAACTAAAGAAGAATTCATGCCAACAGACCTTACTGTCAGCGGCTTTATAGGGGCACCAGTCCAAGCTAAGGGAGTCTTATCTCTTAAAACAAGGGTTGGAAATAAAACAACCATGGTGGTGTTCTTTGTGATTGAGACCGATGCAACATATAATGCTTTACTCAATCGTGATTGGTTACATCCTAATTTTGGCATCCCAT